ACAAGTAGCGTAAAGAATGCTGGTTGCATTTCGTGTCCTCCTTGTCTGCTAAGAAAGAGTGTGAGGGGGCAGAGGGGACCGGTGGGTGTGGATGTCCCTTTAGAGGGTGATCTTCACGGGCCTCATTTCATGAAGTAGAGGAATTCCTGGAAAGCGTTCTTCCAGCTTGGGTGAATGCTTTATTAGAAATTGGGAGGATTGCTATTTAAAAGAACCCTATAATTGGTCCCATAAAGAGGGTCATCTTTTTTGTATTGCAATTACCACTCCAGTCTATTTGGTGAGTTTGGAGTTTTTTGGACCAGAGGGTGCTTCTGCCTTGGCAGCCTCTCCTCAGCCTGGCAGCCTGCAACGAAGTTTGCCGTGGGACCTGACATGCTTTATTTGGTGATGCTGCGTAAGAGCGGATCCTTAGAGCTGGGAGTCAGTGGGGCAGAGTTGCTTATAATTAAAATGTGTGAGTGGCTGGCGGCCAATGGCTCAATGCTGGGAAGGCCCTGGCAGGGTATTCAGGGCTCCTTCTTGGGGACAGTGGTGGGAACCTGCCTAAGAATATCCATGCCTTAAAAAGGAGAGGAAGCTTCGTTCTGACTGTGGTGCTGGGAAATCTGCATTCAGGTACAGCACCTGCATTAGGAAAGGTAAGAATATCTTCAGTGCTCCTGATAGATTAGACATCCAGGGTACCAGCTGGTCTGGTGATTGTCTTCCAGTCCTAATTAGTTCTGTTAAGAGCTGGGAACTTGGATGCTGTGTCAGCGTGCCTCAGCCTCCTGGATCCACCATATGTCACCACTGGAAGGGGCCTTCCAGACCAGCGTTTCTCAACACTTCTGTGTAATTCAAAAGATTACGTGATCAGATACACTTGAGAAACCCAGGATTAAATCAGGTCAAACAGGTTTGTTTAAACTTCTCAGAGCCTTTAATGTGCTAATGTGTATCTAGAATCTGCTGAGACTGTGCATTTTTCTCTCAAACGTACTTGACTGCAGAGCATCTCACTTCTTCTGGACACACTTTTGGAAACCTGTTCAAGAGCAGTGTCTCTCAAACTGGAGCATACATATGCATCATCAACTCCTGGAGGACTCGTTAAATGCAGGTGCTTGGGCCCTACCCCTGCAGTTTCTGCATCTCTGATATATGTCCCAGGTGATGCTGGGGGTCAAGGGACCACACTCTTGAGAACCACTGGTCTAGACTTGTCCCTTTATTCCACAGAGAAGAACATTGCGAAACCAAGGGGTATCTGTTAAGGGTAGTTGCCATGAGTTGAGCCAGCTGCCTGGTAAGCACTTCTCATGACTGTTTCCAAAGGCATGTGGGATGATGGGAGTCATCACTACTCGGGGATAGTACAGTGTACATGATTACCCTTTCGGTACTTTACACTGTGCTCCCCACAAACCACTGTACGGGGGCCAGTGCATCAGGCAGGGCTCCCACCCTGGAGCCCAGTCAGGGTTTCCTGTCCTTGGCAACACTACCGGGGACATGAAGTTTATGTATTTTAATCCTCTGGGCCTTAGTTTCCTCATCTACAAATGGAAGAGGATGGGAATTATCTCTATGGGTTCCTTCTCCTCTCTCTAGCGCTCCACTTTATCTTTGCTCTGAGTCATTTCTTTTTCTGGCTGCCCTCCTGTCTGTCACCAGTCTGTCCCCAGTCACAGGAGCTGGTACGAGGCTGAGGTGATGGAGACTTCAGTGTTACCCTTGCAGGGCCACTGCATTTGAGAGCAGCGTTCCTGCAGGAGTGTCATGGTGGCATCCTAGTGTGGGCCCTGGATAGTGAATCGTGACAGTAATAGCTGTCGGCGTTATGAAGCTCTGGGGGAAGGGTCCCAGCGTCTTCTGTGTTGCTTATTCATTTATATGTCACAGTTTCTGTGATATGCTTCGCAGTCTCTGGCACAGAGTAAAGATCAGTGTTAGCTTGGACCGTAGGAATGATGTTAGAGGCTCCTGCAGGGATTTCTGAGGCCCCTGGAATTGCATACACGGTTGTGAGCGTGCAGTTGTGTATGTGTGATTGAGCACACGTGCATTTTTCTGCAGACAGGACCGTTGCCTTACAAGGGTGGTCAGCTGCGTAGACTGCATCCCTGCTGGATTGTCCCTGGAGCTGGAGTCGGGGAATCATGGGTCTCCCCGGTGTTTGTGACGCATCTAAGTAGCCCCTAGGCATTGGGCAGGAGTGGCCGCGAGTGACCTGGGGCCAAAAACCACAGCAGAAGAGCAGCCTGAGTGGGTGTTGCGGAAGAACCGTGTTTTCCCAGACAGCGGTGATTAGCACAGAGCAGCGTCTTCCCCGGGGCTGGCTGCCTGAGCTCGGGCTTGCCCAGTGAGTTCTGCTGCTCTGCGCTCTGCGGGCCCAGGGCCAGTGCTGATGAGAAATGCGGGCTCGGCCACCTGCCTTCTGAGGAAGCGGCCTCACAGAGCCGACGCAGGCAGGCGCGGTGGTGTCCAGACGTGGGGCACGAGAGGGATGGATCTCGGGGCGCGTCTGCTGCGTGGCCGCTACACCCTCCCTGAGAATCAGCCAGTGGGCCGACTTCACCTCTGCTCGGCCGAGCGCATCTTACCCCGGAGCCCGGGGCTCAGCATCCGCCGGCCCGCCCGGGGAGAGTGCGAGGCCGTGTGTGCGTGGAGAGGCTGGAGCGGGCGTGCAGGGCGGGAGGGGCTTCACCTGCATCGAAGCGAGGCTCCTGCCAGCCACTCTGCGGCTCTCCCCTCCTCGGGCAGCCCCTGTCCCGTGCCTCCTCCGTTGACCACCAACGCGTCTTGGCCTCCTTGGGCTCAGCGCTCCCGCCCCGCACCCGGCAGCACCCGGGCAGCACCAGCCGTCACCACCGCGCTCCCCCGACCCCGGTGCGCACGGACCCGCCCCCTCCAGTGTGTGCTTAGGTTCCAAGTCCCCACCCCATCCTTTACCACCTGTCTCGGGAAGGCAGCTCCACCTCTGCCCTTTGCTTAGTGAGCAAGTGGATTCAGATGCCCAAAGCCGTAAGCCATGGGTAGGTATGAGTTTTTTCTTTGAGTCTCTTCCTCCCCTCCCTCCCTTCTGCCCTCTGCCCCTCCTCCCCTGTACTCTACCCTCCCTCTCCCTTCCCGGCCTCCTGCCTCCACACGTCCCCTCTTTCTTTCTCTCCCTTTGCCCTGCCTACCCCCCTAAGTTCCCCCCGTGACATGTATTTAGCCTACCTGCATGCAGTGTTTTTGGTCCCCGTCCCCTTAATTGCTATGAGTGTTGAAAGGACTCTGGCTCTGTCTTAAATGAGCTTCAGTACCAGCTGGTGGCTCCCAAGGAATACAGCTCTGCCCTCTGCCAACGCGGGGGCCCACTTTGGCTGGTAAACTGATTTCTAGTCATATCTGATGTGCTGCTCCGGCGGGTCTCTAAGGCACAGCCGGCCCAGCGGTTTCCCCGAAATGGAGTCCTGGTGTAGGCAGAAGCTGCACCCTGGTCCTGTGAAGCCTCCTGAGTAAGTGAGGCCAGACACCTCTCCTCCCAGCTGGGACAGAGTGCCCCAGTGTGGCCCCTCTCCCTGCAGTGACAGCCAGAGGGAAGTAGCCGCTCTGTGAAGGAGGCCCATGGGGTCAAAGGGAACTCCACGCACTTGTACATGTGGACCAGGGGGAGAGGCCAGGGGTACTACGTGGGCTCTCCCGGGCCCATTCCTAGACAGCCCAGGTTTTGGAATCAAGTTAGAGCTGGTGGAGCCTGAGCCCTGGATTCTGACCCAGCCCCGAGCCCACTGGGCTCTGTGACCATGGTGGACATCATTCAGAAAACCCAGCCCTCAGCTGATTTCCCCACCTGTACAAGTCAGGTAAGATGAGGCGGAAGGTCTCCATCAGTGCCCTAGGCCCCCTGCACCTCTGCGTCAGCCAGACTGCTGCTTCATCTGTTTACGCTTTGGAGACGTGAATGAGATGCCATGTGAAAAAGGGGTTCTGCTGCGGATTTTCTCTCATTAAACTACGGAAGTTGATTTGCCAGGGTAAAATTCCTCCCAGCATCACATTCCACTCTAGAAACGTTCTCACGTGAACCGGTTTGGGCCAGACCCAAGTAAAGAGCGGTCTTCCTCCTGCCATGCTTGGGCGTATGCCACCTCCCTGGGCTGGCAGCCTCCCCCTTCGCTGTAATCTGCTCTCCCGCCACCACGCCCAGCGCTGCTTCCTGTGTTGCTCACAGGCCGGCGGGGAGGTCGTCCCCCTTCGGTGTAAACAGACACAGCGGTAAACGGGCATCTCTCGCCTCTGTCCAAAGGCTCAGGGTCAAAACTGACGGTGCCAATAGATGGACATCTGTCGAAGCCATAGTGCACTCGCCCTTTTGTTTGTTTTTTCACATTCTCCTCATTACAGGATGGGAACATTCTGCCAGTGCACAGAGCATCACCATCCATTTGTGTTTGGGGCTGGCCTTTCATTTTGGAAACCTAATGGGGGCGGTGGGGCTCAGCAGAGTGAGCAGACAGACACCCCGCAGGGCCAAGAGGCCAGGACCCTTTCTAAAAGAATAGGAGCAGAGTCTCAAAAGGCTTCCTGGCCAGACCACTGGCATGGATGGTGTCGGGAAGCATCCCTTCCTTATCAAAGCTGATACGTGTTGCCACAGGCTACTCAGAAAGCCATTAGGCAGCCTGGCCCCCAGCCTAGGTGCTGCTGAGTGAGCATGGAAAAGGGGGCTCGCTGGGCCAGATTTTAGCCCAGCAGTGGCTGTTAGCGGAGAAGGAAGCTGGGAGCGGGGCAGCTGCTGGACCCCGGCTGCTCCGTGAGAGCTTGGTCCTGTGGAGGATTCCTCAGGATGCGGCTCCAATGCTTTCCAGCCCCTGGGGGGGAGAGCTGCCCGTGGGCAAGGATGAGTGGGCGCTGCCTGGGGACAGTAAAGGGGGCAGTAGCCCAGCAGGATGCCCTGTGAGGAGTGTGGATGTACGGGCGGGCAGGGGGCGCCCTGGTTCACACCTTCTCCCCTTGTGTCTTTCCAGATGCGCTGGCTCCCTCCCTCCGAGGCTACTTCTCAGGGCTGGAAGTCCCGTCAGTTCTGCTGAATCCCATGTAAGTACTTGGTTTCAATGAGAACTGTGTCCAGTGCCTGGACGAGCCCAGACCAGAGCAGACGTTTGATAACTGGGTGGCTGTCATCCTGCCTCAGCGCCTACTCCTGGGCTTGTCCATGCTTGTTAACAGTCACCCGACAAACTCCTTGTGGCCCAGAGAGTTCCGGGGTTTATTTTGCACAGGCAAGTTGCCCTGTTGACCTGAAGTTTCAGTTGGTGGCTCATGTCACCTTCATTTCAATTACCAGGGGAGCCGCTGAGTGCAGATTTCAGTTACTGAAGTTCTTAGCACCGTAAAAGGTCAGCGCTTCCAGGGGGCTCCGGTCCTAGGTCAGAAGGAAGGGCCTCACCAAACAGAAGGATTAGTGTTGGGTGTCAGAGTACCAGAAATCCCACACAGGAGCGTCGGAGGGGCCAGTCAACCCACACCCCGACCAGTCAGGATTCTTTCTCTGGCCCTGGCAATAAGTAAGTCAAAGGATGACACTTTTGTACTTTAAGACATCAACTTCAATAAGTTAGGATTGTACCTTTTCTTCCCCTAAGCTGACATATTTCTGAGTGTGGTCAAAGAGCACTTGGCCTCGGGTGTAACCGTGGACAGAGACTTAACACGCTTCTAAGGTCGGAGTTAAAAAGATTTTTTACCAAACGATTCTCAGAGCCTTTATAACAATATGAGCATCGTGAATCTTGAAGATTAGGAAACTCTAGGATGCAGTATTTTTCAAACTTATTTGAGACCAGGAAACCCTTTTCTCGCACAATCTTAGGAGACTAATGTTTTACATAGCACACACCTTGGGAAACCGTGCCCTCACCTCTTATCCAGAACCTACACCAGGGGCACCCATACGTATAACCCTTGGACCAGGAGTTACCTGTTAACACTTGTCACTAATATGTGATTACAGGGGGAAAACCAGGATTCTTTCCTTAAAGCTACTTGTATTTGTCCCTTATTCTGAAATTGTTCTTCTCTGTGTGTTAAAGTACCCTTTTAAAATGAAATGGTAATGTTAGTGACAGTGTGTTTCCAATGTCCTTTCTTAGAAAGGTGAAGTCAGCCGTCCGTGCTAGACACCTAAAATGTTCTTTAAAATGTTTTACTATTGTGTGAAATCTTAGTTTGCTATTTAAGGGTGACTTTTTTCTCCCTGAAAATATAAATTTTAAGCTTTTGAGGTATATTCTGGAGTCCCTTTAAGTCCAGAATTTCCTAAGTCCATGCTCCATGTCCATATGCCCATAATTAATTTTTAAATTTGATTGATGTATCCCCGGCCATTGTTTCTTTGTTCCGAAAAGCCTTCGGCGTTTGTTGTGTGGGAACCTTCTCCGTTACTGGATGACGCTGGTCTAGCGCTGTCGTGTTATACGGCTCCGGAAGGCACTGTTCCCAGGTACCTCTCTGTGACAGTGTTTATCTCTTAATTCTTGGAGGCTGGTAGGTATTCACCTAGAGGTGTCTAGGGTAAGAAAGCCGGAAATTCTGAAGCCCGTGAAAGAGTTCATGGGGTGAAATGTAGATCTGGCATGTTTTGCAGAAGCTGGTAGTTGAGGAAATGAATGAAATCGGAGGCGAGGTCGGTGGGACAGAACCTGGAGGCTCTCCTGGATGCAAAGGGTCCGCTTGTTGAGAGTGAAGAGTGACCAGGGACAGGGGCGGCACGGCGCCCGGGGAGGGCAGTGTTGAGCTGCCTGTTCTGCAGCGTCAAATGCTGTAGGAAAGCTGAGTAAGATTTTGGCAGTTCCAGTTGGCAAAAGATGGTGGTGGCATAGGGCCCAAGGAAAGAGAAGGCAGGATTGGTAAGCAGTCGAAGAGATCTACCTCCATTCCCCAGAGATCTAGAGGCGGCGTGGCTACCAGAGAAGGGCCAGCAGTTGCTCCCCGCTGCCCTGGAAGTATGGCTTCTGAAATACTGTAGGATCTGCATAAAGATGTCATGTCTCCTGTGGGTGCATCATCGTTCTGAGATAAACTTGGGCCATGGGCCAGGCTCCTTCCTTGGGGTCTGAAGGGAGTTGGGGAGAGGAGGTAGTTCGGGAGGAGGATAGATCACCGAACTCATTACACTGCACTTGGGGTTGGGACTGCAGTCTCCCATCCTGCCTGAGGTTAGACCAGCTCAGTGTGGCTCCATTACCCAGGCTCCTTCTCGTCTCTTGGATCAAGTCCTTTCCAAGACAGTTAATAATCCAGGCTGTGTAATCTTAAGGAGACGTTAAGTGAGAACTGAAAACAGTGGTGCTGATGAAATAACAAACATTTGAGAGCAAGATGAGTCTCCAGAAAAGGGTAAGTGCCACCAGTGGAACCGCTGGCCCACATGGCCTTCCTGTACTCAGTGGAAGGGGCTTTCTTCCCCCCTGGAAAGATGGCACCGGAATAGGGGCAGGAGTGACATCTGGTATCAGACATAAGGACCTGTACGCAGACCGGCGTCACTTCTGATGTGTGGAACGTCAGGGCTGCCTCCTCCTGGATCCTGAACATTCCAGGCCTGTTCTCCCGGAGGTCCTTCAGGGATTTTTAATTGACCCACTCTGAGCACTTATTTCTAAAGGGAAATCAGTGACTAGACTAGAAAAGTAAACAAGCTCTTTATTCTTTAAACGTGTGTTATTTATCTACTATATGGTAGATATAAAAATGTGTGAGGGCTTCCCTGGTGGCACAGTGGTTGAGAGTCCACCTGCCGATGCAGGGGACACGTGTTCGTGCCCCGGTCCGGGAAGATCCCACACGCCGCGGAGCGGCTGGGCCCGTGAGCCATGACCGCTGAGCCTGCGTGTCCGGAGCCTGTGCTCCACAACGGGAGAGGCCACAACAGTGAGAGGCCTGCGTACCACCAAAAAAAAAAAAAAAAAAAAAAGTGTGAAACTAGGCCTGTGCCCCTGAAGAGCTTCAGTTCTAAGGGGCAAGAGCCATGGACACACGTTTTAAAGAGAAAGGAGAATTATTGCCCAGGATGCTCCAAAGGGAGGAGCGCTCCAAAGGATGTGGGTGTGCGTGCGGACCGCCATCAGCGGCATAAGTAAGGCCACCAGAAGGGTGGTCGTCAGAGGGGTGGGTGTTACGTTTTAATTTGTTCAACATCTTGCTTGACAGACGGTGTTCAGTCTGGTTACAACGTGTGCACATCACTACAGAGTTTTGCTAATGGGTCAGCCATGTGCCCGAGAACCCCAGGAAACACAGTAACGACTGGCAGTGATCAATTTCCCAGATGGGTTGAGGATAGAAAAGCATGAGCAACTCTGCAGTCACTCCTTACAAGGAATAAGGGTTACGCAGTCTTCCTGGTTGGGTATCCAAATGTAGTTAAATAAATCAGAAAAAAGAGGGGAGAAAGAATTAGAGTTGGAGTGGACGTGGGAGGGTGTTCTTAAAGAACTCATGAAATTTCCCTGGCCGGGGACCGAGACCACAGCATAGAAATTATAAGCACGTGTAGTCACGGCCTCACCGAACTAAAGGAGAACATGGCAAGGGATAAGAATTTGAACCTGTTTGTTCCTCTTGTTTAGTTTTGGGGAGGAATGGCCTAGTCTGTCTTTGGCTGTGAGCACAAGCGCCTTGGGGATGCGGCCACGATCCGGAGAGCCCCAGCTGCTGGATGTCCAGGCAGCAGCACTTAGAGCTTAGCAGGGTGGGAAGGGCAGAGTCTTCATGGAAGCCCAGACAGCTGCTGTGGCTTCAGGCACTCACCCCCTGCCTTCTGCCTAGAAGAGGCCCCAGGGTCCTTCCCTTGTCTTCTATGAACCAAGGTCTTTCAGTCACACGTAAGGCGATTGACACAATACATATTCAGTGACCATCTGCGGGATATAAGGTACTGTTCTGGGCGTTGCAGATACAACAGTGGACAGAAGCAGACAAAACCCTTGACTTGGTGGAGGTGACATTCTGTAACAGGGAGAAGAGTAATAAAATACTAAAGTAAACAGTAGGTCGGGTGGTGAGAAGGGCTAATGGAAAAATGCCAATCAAGGAAAGACGGCGACTGTGAGGGGTCAGCAGGTGCTTCCCTGCACACGGGAGCAGAGATGAAAGCTCTCCCAGATTTATATGGGGTTCTTTTTTCAGAACAGACCTCACTTTCCTCAAGCTTAGAGGACAGTTTAACTTCTCTGTTCCTCTTCTCCCCTCCCTTTTGCTACATCCAAGTGAACAGGCTTGGGCTGGGTGGGGCTTGAAGGCAGCGCTGGCAGAAGGTGCCCGGCGGCCCGAGTGGATGAGCCCTTCCCTGAGAGGGGTCTCCACGTGCCCTGGTTCTGATTCCCTCACCCTGAGCCCCGGGGTCTGTTTTGCTTTCCGTGTGAGTCAGAAAGTAGGGACGGGCCTGAGAACCTGCCTCCTGCCAGGTACTGGGGTGGTGGCGTCCCTTCCAGCTTTCTGCTAACCACCTCCTAGCACCTGCTGAGCCATGTGCCAACCAGGACTCTTGTGACAGCCAGCACAGTCAGCTGTGGCTCCCCCTTCACCCGTGGTCTATTCTGTGAGTCTGGCTGGGATACGGAGGCCCCCGAGTACGTGCACCAGGGAGCTGCCGGCCCGGCCCCTGGAGGAAGGTCACAGATCGCGGCCGCATGTTAAGATCAGGACACTGAGCCTCGGCGTTTCCGCAGTCGCAGGGCAGGGCCACCTGCAGGAGCCGACCGTCCACTGCCATCAGCTCTCTGCGTGGCTGAAAGGAGAGCTTCAGAAGGCCGGCGTGCGCTACATAGAGGTGAACGCGTTGGGACTCCCCTCTGGTGTTTTGTGTTCTTTGGGGAGTCCGCTCCCGGGGTCTCTGCAAAGCAGACTCTGGCCCATGTGTTCTCTCTGCCCACCTGGTGAGCCCGGCGTGCGGACAAGTGTTGTTGATACAGTAACTGCAAAGAGTGGCTTGCTGATAAAACCCTAGTCTCCCAGAACCCGGCCCCAGAAGCCAGGGTCCCAGAACTCCTAAACCACCAGTCCTCAGTCCTCCCGACTAGCTTCAGCCCAGAGGCTGAGAGGAATCTGGTCATCAGTGTGATTTCCTAAACGACAAGCATCCTAAAAAGGCAGCCTTGGTCTGGCCGCCCCAGGAGGCACCCTGGGTCTGCAGGCACACCCTTCCTCCCTCCTTGCCTGTGCCCGGCAAGTGTGGACACGGTCGGGGAAACTTGGGTCAGATGATAGGTTTTGTTTCCAGGGGTGAACATTTATTTTTCTGTCCTCAACCCAACTTCTACCAGGAGACTAGAATCACATCTACTCATCTTTCAATGTTTTTATAGTGAAATTCTGGGGAAAACTTTTTTTTTTTTCCTGACTCTGAGAAGAGAGATGCCCTGGGAAGGCGATCTTTCCTTCAGCCTGCCGCATCACCCCAGAGGCCATCTGAGCGCAGGGCATGGTCTCCCTGCAGCATCCCGGGGCAGCTTTCCACAGCACATTGTACGCTCCTGTCCACAAAGCCCTGTGCGCCAAAAGCAGGTTCTCTGTCCCGGGAAGGAGAGCAGCACTGAAGACTTGAGGAACGTTAGCGGGGAATCGGGCACCGGTGTCCATGTGCTGGGCGAAGGCCTGCCTTCCTCAGCACCAGGAATTCTTGATGAAACCAGCCAGCTCGGAGGCAGCCATGCCTGCAGGAAGAATATTAAAAATGTGTTGCTCACTAAGTGTCTGCCTCTTCCTGTCTCAGAATTCTCAGACACTGGGAATAGCAGGGTATGTTCACAAGCGTTAGCTTTTGGGTTTTGTTTCCTAGTAGGTGCCCGGAGCAAAGTCGAGTTCATTGGTGCACGTGATAGCACAGGGTTCTCCTGGAGGGTTGCTTCTGTGGCCTTGGGCTGACCAGAGTTGTCCCTGGGGTCTGGGGTGGCCCCTGGAGTTGGTTAGGTTTCGGGCTGCTCTCGGGGGCCCTCAGATGCCGTGCCTTTCCTCTGTCTAGTCCTGGGGGACGTGTGTGCAGAGGCCCTGCCTGTCTGCCCCCGGGGGGCTTATGCCCTGGTGCTCCTGAAGGGGCACGCTTTTCTCCAGGTGCCCTCCCCACTGGGCTTGCTGCCAGGGAGTCCCTGGGGGGCACCCCGGCCCCCGAGAGCCGCCTCCCGCTGGCTGCACCACGTCCCAGTGAGAGCTCTTCGTGGCACTCCCAGTTGGAGCTTGTCCTCAAGCTCAGCAATGGAGGCCTTTGGTGCTGGTGCCTTTGCCTCGCAGCTCCTTACCCTCGGAACAGGCCCGGGGAAGCCGGCAGCCGGGGTTGCTGTCACCGCGGGTGTTAACGGCTCATCTCTTTCTCCACCCCAGGTTCCAGGTGTGTGATGGTGGCTGCAATCTGTCTTGTGGGTATTAACGCAATCTTCAAGTGGCTCCTGTTCTCGAGCTGTTCTACAAAACTGGAGCGCGCTGGTGAGTTCCAAACTCAGAGACTGAACGGTTCCTCCCAAGAAGCAGCGTGTCCCGGGCAGGGCACGACCGCGTGGAGTGGTGTAGTCGGGACCATCCCACCAGCATCCCCTGGGGGTGGGGCCCCTCCGGGGGCTGCGGTGGGCGCTCGGAGTTGAGACCTGCTGGTGTGGGTGCTCGGGATCGGCGTGCGCTCGTCTCCTCCAGCTGCCGTCTGCTGAGGGAAAGTCGTCCCAGGGTAGCAGGTGAGCTCTGCGGGCTCTCAGAGCACGTCACCCAGCGCTTGGTCCTCACAGCCTTGCTGGGCGAGGCTGTCAACACCTCTCATCCAGCAGTATCCGGGTATGAGGTATTCCATCAAAGGGAACATATATATGAATGAAGTTTTTCCCTTGAAGCGCTAAGGCTTTTTTTTTTAACCATTCTGGTGGAAATCTTCAGATGTAGTGTGTATATTCCTTTTGATCTGTTAATCCAGTTATACGGAGTATAGTGCAGCCCTTTCTTGATGACTTGGAGACATTCTGAGCCTCTAAAGAAACGGGGCGATTGCCCTTGGGCATGACTGAATTATAATGGAGTCTAAGTGGACTCCTCTAAACTGCGGGGCTTTTCTAGTGGTGAAGACTTTGGTGATTTGTCCGTCTTCTCCGTCGCTACCAGCTGTCACTGCTCAGTTCTTTCACTTCTGGCAGTAAGCGTTGTCTCAGAACAGTCGTGCAGCAGGGTTCCAGGAGGCGACCTGCCTGCTGGGCACCACATGTGGGGCTTCCAGTCTCTTTGGAAAGCTTGACCTAGAACAGCAGGAATGCCAGGGGCAGGCCAGCAGCAGTTATGTCCCAGCCCAAATAAGGTGGCAGATTTCATCCCTGCGAGGGGCCTATAAAGAAAAGATGAGTCATAAAGAGAACAAGATTCCTGCTAAGGGCAGAGAACCAGGCAGTTGGGCCTAGGAGGTCATTACCACATTTGGGGCATAAGTAAGCTCGTGCTCAGAAGACCACCTCTCAGTGCCCCCCAGAGGCGCGTGTAGTGGGCGCGTGCAGCCTGCCCACCCTGCCTGGTTGGGGGGCCGGCATCAGGCACTTGGGGTCTTTTTTCCCACTGATGTCTGTTTCTCACACTAACGAAACTGACCAACAGATAAAGAGTTTTCCACATCACACAGGGCAGCCAAGAGATATCGCACTAGTTCTACAGCCTTCTAATCGATCAGGTTTTCCTCTTCTCATGGTCCTTAACAGAAGTGCCCACAGTATTCTTATGGATATTACCACTCAGTAAAACTGTTTAAAAAGACAAGATCTTGCGCTTTGCTTTCTCTCCTCCTCTGGGGAAATTTAAGGACCAATTAGAAGCCACACATACAATTTTTTAGAAGCAGCTTTAGAGTAGGGATTTTTTATTTTTTTATTATTATTTTTTTTAGTGTAGTAAATCAGCCCAGATCTCAGTAACTGGGGCACACGCGGATGAGCCCTGTCGGGAAGCAGCAGCAGCTGGAGCACGTGGTGACTCTCTGCAGACAGTGGAAGGGCCTGGTGACAGTGGGGAGGAGAACCGGCTCGGTCCTGGGTGGCCCGCGTGGACGGGGTCTTCAGCACTAGCCGTGTTCACGGTGGGGCTTACCAGCCCCAGGCCACCCATCGGTTACAAGAGTGTGGAGGAGGCTTTCCCCTCCCCAGCTCTGAAGTCAGCCAGCACTGCAGAGATAGGCCTGGCCTGTGAGGAGGGAGGATCTCTGGCCCCGAGGGCGGGCCTCCTGAGGGTGAGGGCTGGCGTCCACCCAGGGCCACAGCGGGGGGCGGCCAGCGTGAGCTCGTGTCCGTGGCCAGTGGTGCACTGGTGCAGGGCATGCATCTTTAGAATAGGGAGGAGTTTCTAACCACAGAGGACTGTTCCCTGGAGACTCTATAGACTGTGAAGCTTTTAAAATGTTAGTCTTTGTGTTACAAATTAGTACCAGCATTTGATTTTTCAAAAGTCAAGCTGACGGGTATAAAATGAAAACTAAACCACTCTTATTAATAAACCTTAGTCATATGATGTTGGGATTTGGATGGAAGGGAATATTTCTTACCTGACTTATAGTAAAAATGAATAAATGTTAGAAAAACTCTTGGGGAAAAAATCATTAGTAAATAGGTCAAGTATAGATACAAATGGATTGGGGGAAAACAGAAAGAGGATTTTCTTCTTGCTGGGAGAAAACACTCACAAGGCGCTTGGATCAACACACTCTAACTTAACCAACCTACCAAGCTGCCTCGGGGAAGAGCAGCCTCTCCTGTGGGTCTCAGCGTTGGCCACCCCCAACCCCACCAGGGCAGCCGGCACCATGACCCATACCCATCGGCAGCTGTCCCCAAGCACTGAGGGACACGCAGTGATCTCCATCAAGGACAGCTGAAATGAACTGGTTTAGAATTGTGTAATATTCCTTAAGACACAGGGAGACACTCTCCATTGTCTTCAAATAGAGACAGTGGTGACCTGCTTCAGACAAGATTTTATACACATTTTCTTCCCTTGTTTATCCCATCACATGCATGTCATAGTTGACCCCCTTTCCGGAAAGGTTCTGTGAGGAGAGTCTGCTCTGTAAACAGAGCCTGACTCTCTCCCACCCCCCATGGTGCTCTGTGTTCCCGGATGTCTTTGCTTTCTGTTTAAAATGTCCTTGTTAATACATTCCAAGGTTTGAACTCCGTTCCTAGCTAAACCCCTTTCCTTGTTTACAGGGATTGAAATAGCCACATTTTGACCTTCTATTCAGTCTGCAACATCTATGGCAATGCGGACGCATTCTTTTCCCATGTGAGAACTGCATTTACCCAGCACAGTTATGGAAAAGCGGAAAAGCTCAGGAAACTATCGACTCACCCCTTTGTTTCTTCCCTCCCTGTTCTTTTTCACTTCAAAAGATCCGACTTTCTACGCAGCCTTAGATTAACCAGCCCCGTCCATCTTTCTTCCTGCTCAGGGGCCCAGGAAGGGGACAGAGGACCCTTAAGTCGGGTGTGTTGCTTATCGCCTCAGAAAGCTGGGGCGCCTTCCCAGTCCCCGCATCAGCTTTCTGTAGAGGCCCTGTCAGGGCCGATGTGCAGAGCCCCACGTGGGCCCCAGGCACAGTCTCCTGGCTCTCAGCCTAGCCTGGGCATTATCAAGGCTGGGGGCCACATCCCATTAATAGCCCATCGTTCCCGTTTCATTTGTCCTAGAGTCCAGGTGTCTGCATTTTTGCTACATGCAAGTGACTTGTGTCTGGAGTAGAGGATGGTGGAGACAGTCTCAGGGAGGGAAGTAATCCTTGTGAAAGCCAAGTAAGTGGCCTGGACCGTGAGAGCTCCAGCCAGGAGATGAGAAAGCCCTGCAGCCTGAAGGGATCAGGAAAGGCTGGAGGAAGTGGTGCTTAAACTGAGTTTTGACAGATAGTAGGGTTTGTGTATGCGGAAATACACTAACAGAAGCGGGGGACGTAAGAATGACTGTGTGGTCTTGTGGAAAATGGATTTTGATGAAGGTTTTGAGGGTCTTGGGGAGGCAGCGGATCTGAGCCAGGTAGCAGGAGGTGCTTTAGGAATTGTCACCTTACTGCCCAAAGCAAAAGGCATGGTCTAGTGGAAACACGTACCAGGAGAGGCGAACCAAGCCGGTGATGGCGGTGTCAGAGTGACCTGAGAGTGCAGGGCGTGTCTGGGACGCATCCGTGTGAAGGCCAAGTGGTGAGTCTTGGTAGAGACGCGTTGCCTTTGAGGTCGTGGCAGAAACGCCCAGGGCAGAGCTGATGGGAATGGGGAGAACTGCCCGGGAGCTGGCAACGTGCACTTGCCTGAAGGTGGCCTTTGAGCTCCGGAGAAGCAAGCAGACCTAGGCCAGGCAGGCCCTGCCTCACCGAGCCAGGGGCTGTAAGAGCTTTGTCCTTCCTAAACTAGTGGGCGGCCCTCTCCAAACCCATGCTCTGTGAGAGGACCCTCAAGTTCCCAGAGCCTACGGGCTGCCCGCTGCTGTCCCCTGTGAGTTGTTCCGAAGTGGGAACTGCTGTTCCTTGGCACTGGTTTCCTGGAATCGACGACATCCACGGCTTCGGTTGCTGGCATGGGGTCAAGTTTGGAATGACGTGGGACTTGTCATTCCAGGCCTGACAAGCCAAGACTGAGGAGGAAGGAAGCTGGCCTCGTCTCCGGGTCCCCAAAGCTGGTTTCCCTCCTCCGTGGACGGACAGAGACTGGCAGGTGGGGGAGGCCCCTTTGGCAGCCAGAGGGCCGCAGATCAGACGCTCATGGGGACTGAGGCTCGTGAGTTCATTAGAGAACGTCAGCTGCTACAGCACCAAAGACCAGGCCTGGCCCTGTGACTCCCCCCATAACCCTGGGCACGTGCATTCCTGCCACCCACCGGGCCTGCTTCAGGCCGTGCACACCTGGGCTGGATCGGGGGTCCTGGTGCCCCACCCCCTGCTGGGTAGAAATCAGGCAGGAGAAGAGATGTAGCTTTCACGAGGGGGGGGGGGTTCTTCTGCTGGCCCTGCTGAGTGTCACAGTACGTGTGACCTGCACCAAAGATGGGGAGTGAAGGGTCCTGGCCCACTTCCATTCCTCCGGCACTGAGCGAGTCTGGGGGGCTGATCCCCACTACTGTGCTGGGCACCAGGGGAAGCAAAGGAATTTTCCTAAAGGAGGTGACCACCTCCTGCTGGACAAATGAGAACTCGGAGAAGCTGAAGGGAGGACACGGGGACCTGGCTCCCCAGAGCTCGAGTTGGGAACATTTCTAAACTGAAGGGGACACTCGTTATCCTTTCTATAATCGTAACTAAATGATAGGCGAGGACTAATTTAATAGTTACAACAAGCTGAAGAGACAGGTAAGTGTTAACCTGACCTCAGAGAAGAGGTTCTGGATGTCCAGATCCCTACTCTTGAGAGCAGTGTCCTACCTTCTCCCCATGGAGTTTTCCATGGGCCACAGGTTTGTGGTTATTATATTTGGTCTTCTGACTTGTGGCTCATTAGTTTTACCCATTTCTACTGTCAACCAAAAACTAGGCTCTGACAAGATATACTGGGACATAGTTTAGATCCAGCTGGCACTGGATGGATCTGGGTGGAAGAGGAGTGTTCATTAAGATCGTCCAATTAGCTGTGTCTGAAAGAGTTTAACTCAGGGCAGGACAGGGGCTGTTAACAGCAAGGACGGCTTCCTCCCACATACAAAATTCTAGTAGTATATGCTGATTACTTCTACGTATACCTTTCCGGCAATCACAGATTTATGTGAGTCTGACCTGTTGGTAAGATGGCAAGAAAACAAGGGACTGGGGAGTTGGAGAGATGAAAGTAAAATGAGTGACAGAATAAGAGTAGAGCATCTACAATGCAGCCTTCACGTAAGTGAGTAAATCCAGACACAAAGGAGCTGAGAAGTGTTTAAGAAACTCCTGGGACCAGGGCGGGGGTGTGCCAGGGACGAAGTCTAGATGATTGTCCAAAGGCCCTTTATTCTGCCACGAAGCAAAAACAAATATGAACGTTTCCTTGCAGGGGAGAGAGGGCTTGAAAAGATTCTAGTAAGAGAAAGATAAACAGAAATTAAATACCCACTCCCCGTGTTTGTAAAGCCAGACCACTGAGCGTCTGGCTTGTGAGTGGTCTTCATCTGGAGGGTCAATGAGGATACTCCGTGTTTACAGAAAGGTGTACACATGCGCCGTTGTAGGGAATCACCAGGAGTCTCTGAGCCGTGGCTTCTATACACTGGTGTCCCGAAACAGCCCCGTGGCTCAGAGGAAGACCACGCACTTGTGAGACCCACTGCCCTTACATGCTTTCTTTCTGTTTCAGGCTGGAACCCGCCCAGTTTTGGTCCCTTCAAGACTCTGCCACAGCCTCTATCACACATCTGTTTTTCTCGAAGAAAAAAAATACAATAAAAATGTTTTACTCTTTTACACTGTATAATTTGTAAGAAACCGTGTTATTTGTGAACGCATGGTCTGCCATTTCTGTACAGTTTGGAGATATTTTCGAATGAAACATAAAAGATGTCAACGATAAAATCAAGAGAGTGAGTATTTTTATACCAAACATTTTAAGTACGACAGGATGGATGATCTTACACTGGATTGGATCACAGATTTTGTGCTTGACTTTTGAATGCTTGTAATTTAAAATATCTATTTTTTTCCTCTAAAAGAAACTGCATGTTTAAGGCATGTTTTTAAATATTATCAAAATTTCCAGAATCATGGTGAATGTATAGAAATCTGTTTCCCTGGCCTGAGTCCAGGGTCCATGAGTAACGCAGCGTTAGATGTTAGAACCGCTAGTGCAGTACTCGGGGTTTACTTCCAGGTCTAGTAGGACACCCTGCAAGACAATCAAAGGCCTCCAGGAGCTTCTATCTATCTTAACGGCGGCAGGTTCCCAGCTGGGCAAAGCAGCCTTTCCTTGGTGCACATTCCTCACTTAGAAGAGCCCGGCAGCTCCCGAGGTAACTATACGAACTGTGGGCTGAGTGTTGGGTTTTGCCGTTTTCTTATGTTTTTCTTCTACCAGCACGCTCCTGTGTGTGCCCAGCTGACGCGCGACTCCCCCGGTGAACGTGCTGAGTCTAAGGGGAAGCCTTGGCTTGGGAGGCCAGCCCGGGCCCAGGAGGCAGCCGCCTTTGCCCGGCCCACCTGGCTGCAGTGGGCAGCTCCCATCCCCCAAGTGATTTTGCAAAACATGGGTTGAACTGAGCTGGTGTTCCTGAGCCTTGGCAGCAGCAGGCCAGACACACCACTTAAAACATGATCTTGAATCCCATGTGCTCACTGTGACACTACCTGCCCCATCGGCCCAGGGGGAGGTGTGCAACCAGTGGCATCTGGAATGAGTACTCGTCAGCTTGCTTCAAGACTCCGTCAAAGCCAGTCAGTCTAGCGTGGTAAGCCGACACTTCCAGAGTCTGTGGCAGCTCACTCTCCCCCTTGTTGGAGAAGAGCCGGGTGTAAAAATATATTGACCTAAGAATTTTTAACTGCTGATATAGCTAAACATGACCACAAGCTTTCTTACTGATCTGCTCACGCCGTGCTGAAGATTTCGATGTTTTAATGACTATAGTATATTATACATGGTTGGTGTCAGGTTTTCTAGTTTCATTATTTTCCATCAGAAGTAAAGAGATCAAGACACTTTTAGAAGCTCATCACCAAAAAAACGAAAGGAGCCAGGGGTGAGGGGCGCTCACCCTCACAATAAATGACAGGAAGGAACGTCCCTGCCACACCCAAGCCCTGCTTAGGGCTTCATCGCCGCCTGGTTCGTGGTGACAGTTCTGTACTCTTGTTTCTAAGGAAAACAGCAACTTCCACCCAGTCTATTATGCTTTTATAAACTGTTTAAAGGTACTTTTCTATTGTCATTTTTAAGAATAAAGTGCTAATTCCAGCTGTCACACCACTGCTTGCCATATTCCTTTTTGTAAGACCAACCCAGGGCATCCACACTGCAGACCAGGGAGCAGCGTTTTTGCTCCCATTTTCAGGTCTGGACAGAGCTAAGCACTGGCCCTTGAGCCCAGGACAGAGGGGCTAAGGGAAGAAAGGGGCAGGGATGGGAGAGCCTGGACAGCCCATGCCAAGGCTCTACTGGGGGCGCCTGCTAACTGACGGGACGCAGCGGCCGTGACCAGAGCCTCCCGACCCACAGAAGGGTCGCCGGGGAGACTCACACCCCTTTCCTGATGCCTTTTACTGCGCTCAGCAGACCCCACATCCTCCCCAGGCTACAAAGCTTAGCTCAGGCCTATCTGAAATCTGTAGTTGTGGTTTTCTACTGACCTAGAGTAAGAAATATATTCTATTGAGAAGCCAGGCCTTGATAGCCAAGACCATAAAGTGCTTTATATAAATATATTCTCACCAACTCCTCTTCCCCCAAAAGGGGGAGGGGGCCATAGCACTCAATTCCAACTAATGGCAACCACCACGAGCAACTATTCGTCTCGCTGGGCACTGACGTTATTGGTTCTGTGGTTTGGATCTCACGTTCCTTTTACAGAGAAGACTAGCCACCAAAAGTGGGTGAAGGCAGAAAAGGACCACACAGCTCAGCGCCCTGCCCAGGCTCTGCAGGCCACATCTGCCATGGCTCTGGGATCATGGCTCTGGGACAGGCTTGATGGTGCACTTTGCCTTCCGCCCATCTGGGACCTCCCAACTCCAAGGCACCAGAGACGAGCCAGACAGCCTAGGTATTGAGGGTGCCTCCCCCGGAAGGGCTGAACACAGTCACTGCCATAGGTTTTTGCACAAAGGGCCTTGGGGTGGATGAGTGAGTGCCTGGGTCACCACTGCTGTGCAAGTGACAAGTCTGGACAGTACCTACCTGTCTAGCGTGAGCTCCAGACACAACCCCACTTGAACACTTGAACACCAGCTTCATTTTGTGTCACCCCACGGAGCACAAACACTGGAACTGGGAATTCGCGATAAGGGCAGGTCTGTCTGTTCCCTCTTACTTCTGCGCATAATGTCCCAGTCTTGTAGACTCCAGCAAGATGATAACTAAGCCATCCGTTGTTACCAAGTAAACCCTCCATTGGGAGGGGAGATGTGCCGCTTAGAACACAGGACTAATGTCATAAAACTGGCATTAAGTACTAAAATTAAGTACTATGCCTTCTACCTCTATAACAAAATTAAAAATTAAAGGAATCTGGAAAAGAACCTTAAAACTTGCAAAATGAAAGTTACAGTATAATCATAAAGGCTTCAAATTCCCAGTACCTGAATATATGTCCAAACCTACTTTCATAGGAGAGGAAGCATGACTGGACACCCCAAGAACTCTTGGTGTCTGTGTCACGGTGACATACAGGAATCAACTAGTTATTTCTGAGTGCTTTGGGCAAGGCATGCTTAGCTCAAGGAATACAAGCAGACTTCCTACTGTATCCCCCATCTATCACTGGGACGTCCAACTGTTAGGTGAAAAGTGTATTCTTACCCAGTGTGAAGAGAATTTTCAGCACGCAGCTGCTCTCTCACTCTTCCAATGTCATCCCTGTTCTATCACACCTCCTCATGACATCAAACAACTGGACAACATTCTGAGAAGGCAGAAGAGTGTGTTACTAGTGATGTGTCATCTGAAATGCTGGTCCTCAAAACGCCTACACTGAAACTCATGACTGTGATGCTGAAAAACCATACTGAGTCAGCTAACTGATAAGGCCCTCTAAACAGGAAAACATTTAACTGCCACAGTGCAGCTCTGTCTACTGCTGCAGAACGTCCTGGCTGGTACCCAACTCCCCTAGACTGGCCTGGCTCTAACCACCCCAAGCCCCCAGATGCCAATATGCCGTGAGAAACCTTCCTGACCTTCCTCAGGTGCTGCTTCACCAGGGCTTCCACAGTACAAACCACACTTCCCTGCTTTATGAGGGGAAAGGGCCCTGTGACCATGAACCGTAACAACATGCCCATAAATCAAGACCCAGGGAAGCCTTCCACTCCCCACTGCTCACACCCGTCTCTCATTTGAAGTGAAACTCTCACCATGCTAACTAACAGTAAATTAGAAATTTACTTAGGCTAGATTAAATTAAACCCAAACTTCTCCTCTGGGCAAAAGGACACACCTACATGGAACAGGAAATGATGCTCAGGTTAAAATATTTACCTGGACAAAAGAGCACTTTTCCCCTAAAACCAGAACGCAGAAAAGTTCAAAATCTCATATGACAGTCAAGTGCAAGGTAAACCTGACTTTGGTGTTTCTGAAGCTGATCCTGCCAAGGTCAGGCTATGATTTACAGCAGTGTCTCCTATTAGTATCCTTCTGTGTTTTCACTTATTTTTTTAAAAAGTTAAGGTAAGTCTGCACTGAACGTCCTTTAACCCCTGCAAAGTTCTGGGTGGCTGAAAGTCACTGGGTTCTCACAGGGTCTTGAGACCACATGGTCTGAGTCACAGGAACGTGCTGGCCCATCTCCAAACCAGGAGAGCTGGACAAGTGCTACAGGCCTAACTGTCCAAAGGGCCCGTGGCAGCAGCCTTGCCACTTCGCCTGAGAGCACCAGCACACCTCTAATGGAAATCCCATTATGAAGGAAAATGCGCTTTTGCTTTTTGAACTGTGGCCAGAAGGAAGGTCGACAGCACAATGCCAGGGCCTATTCTAGCTCTGTGTTTCCAAAGTGCTCATTCAACATGACGCTCACAGGACAGGGACAGGGGTTCCAAAGTCCGGTTCATCTGAGAAGTGGTTTCCAAGAGGTCCTTGGGCCTCCCCCACCCTCTGCTCCCCACAGAACATCTAGTCTCTCAGAACAAGCCCAAAAAACACACCCGAGGAGAGGATGGACTGTCCCACGTGAAGCTCCAAGGGCGGCAACACATGATACAGGTCATCGCGCTGTCTCCACACACAGCACCCCAGCTTCGCTACACAGCAACAGTGCCGGACCCAGCTTGTTAAGAACAGTCAATAAAACCTTAAAAAACACAAAATAAATCATTTTTGCAAGTAGCTAGGAGGAAGAGGGGACACCAAGTCTCATTTTCTATGCCTCAGAAAACCATTATTAGCTGATATGAACTGGGGAACTTATAAATCCAAATGCCCCATTCCCACATCCAAAACGTTTTTTCTGCTAGTGACTTCAGTCAGCTCACAAAAGAACCAAGGGCTGTATGTCTGCAGTGCCCTTGCTACAAACAATGGAACGGGAAGTAGCTGCCCTGCCTTATCGCTGAGACTCTGCTCCACACGTATCAAGCGCGGCTCCAACCCCTGAGTCCCACCATCATCTCGCCACACTTAGAGGATGTAACAGCAACAGTCAAATGTCATTTTTTACACTTTTGGGCTCAAATATATTTCAGCTATCCCCTAAAAGCCTCAGCTTACGGTGATGAATTATAGATCAAATGCACTACAGACTGTCTTAAACTTTTAACACACCCAGACACGCCCATTCCAACTTCCTTCTGTTAAACAGGCCACAGACCCAGCAGAAACGGGCAGAGGTAAGAACGTGACTTTGACTTTAACTTGAATTTCTGGTGGATATGTTTCTAGGTGCCCAGAAGAACTGGTAAAGAACTTCTTTCTTTTTATTACAACCCTCAAACACAACTGGGTTCGTATCACAATTTCCCACAAAGACTATATCCCTCCCCACATGTCAAAACAGCCAGAAAACAATTAACAAAATGGAAACAGTAAAGTCCTCACCTAACAATAATTACTTTAAACATAAGTGGATTAAATCCTCCAATCAAAATACCCAGAACTGCTGAATGGATTAAAAAACAAGATCCAATGATATGCTGCCTATCAGAGACTCACTTTAGCTTTAAAGACACAGACTGAGAGCAAAGGGAATAAGGTATTTCAGGCAAATGGTATTCAAAAGAAAAGCAGGCACAGCTATACTTATGTAAGACAAAATAGACTTTAAGAATGGTAAAAAGAGACAAGGTCATTATACAATGATAAAAGGATCAATCAATCAAGAATATATAACAATTGTTGGAAATTCCCTGGCAGTCCTGTGGTTAGGACGTGGCACTTTCACTGCCAGGACCCAGATTCAATCCCTGGTCAGGGACCTAAGATCCTTCAAGCCATGTGGCGCAGCCAAAAAACAACAACAAAAAAGAATACATGACAATTGTAAATACTTATGCACCCAATCAGAGCACCCAAACATATAAGCAAAAACTAATAAAACTAAAAGGAGAAATAACCTGCAATAAAATAATAGTTGGGGACTTTAATATCCCACTCTCTACAATAGACAGACCATCCAGACAGAGGGTCAGTAAGGAAACAGGATTTGAACAACACTAGGACTAAATGTACCTAATAGACATATACAGTTGACTCTTGAACTGCATGGGTCCACTTATATGTGGATTTTTTTTTTCCCAATAAATACACACTACAGTACTATACAATTCATGGTTGGTTGAAACCACAGATACAAGGGCCAACTGTAAAGTTACATGCAGAATTTTGACTGTGTGGGGCTTCCACACCCCTATCCCCCATGTTTTTCAAAGGTTAACTGTACAGAACATTCTACCCAACAACAGAATAGGCATTCTTCTCAAGCACATGTGGAATATATTCTATGATAGACCATATGTCAGGCCACAAAACAAGCCTTAGCAAATTCAAAAAGACTGAAATCATACCAAGTATCCTCTCCAACCAGATGGGATGAAACTAGAAATAATAAAAGGAGGAAAACTGGAAAATTCTTGAACATATGAAAATAATGCTCACCTGAACAACCAATGGATCAAAAATGAAATTAAAGGAGAAATTTAAAAGTATCTTGAGACAAATGAAAATGGAAACACAACACACCAAAACTTATGGGATACAGCAAAAGCAGTTCGAAGAAGGAAGTTCATAGCAATAAACACCTACATTAAGAAACAAGAAAAATCTCAAACAACTTAACTCTACACCTTTAGGAAACAGAAAAAGTACAAACTGAGCCCAAAGTTAGCAGAAGGAAGGAAATAAAAAAAGACTAGAACAGAAATAAATAAAACAGAAAAGCAGTAGAAAAGATTAACCAAACTAAGAGTTGGTTTTTTGAAGAGATAAACAAAACTGATAAACCTCTAGCTACACTAAGGAAAAGAGAGGATCCAAATCAACAAAACTATAAACGAAAAAGGAGACATTACAAGTGATACACAAAGAATCATAAACAGCTACTATGAACAACTATATACAACAAACCAGACAACCTAGAAGAAATGGAAAAATTATTAGAAACATATAACCTACCAAGACCAAATCAGAAGAAATAGAAAATCTGAAAATACCAATTGCTAGAAACAGTAATCAAAAATCTTCCAACAGGGACCTCCCTGGTGGTCCAGTGGCTAAGACGCTGTGCTCCCAATGCAGGGGGCCCAGGTTTGATCCCTGGTCAGAGAACTAGATCCCACATGCTGCAATTAAAGCTCGGGCACACCGCAACTATGACCCAGCGTAGGCAAATAAATAAATTTTTTAAAAAAAATCTCCCAACAAAGAAAAGCCCAGGCCCAGATGGCTTCACAGGGGAACTTCATCAAACATTTAAATAAGAGCTCATGCCAATCCTTATCAAACTCTTCCAAAAAACTGAAGAGGAGGGAACATTCCTAAACTCATTTTATAAGGCTAGCATTACCCTAATATCAAAGCCAAAAAAGTACACTACCAGAAAAGAAAACTAAAGGTCCATATCCCTGATGAATATAGACGCAAAACTTCTCAATAAAATACTAGCAAACTGAATTCAGCAGTGCATTAAAAAGATTATTCACCATCATCAAGTAAGATTTATCCTTGGGATGCAAGAATGGTTCAACATACATAAATCAATTTGGTATGTCACATTAATAGAATGAAAGAAAAAAATCATATGATCATCTCAAAAGGTGCAGAAAAAGCTTTCCAAAATATTCAACATCCATTCATGATAAAACACTCTTAACAAATTAGGTACAGAAGGAACATATCTTAACATAATAAAGGACACATAAGTCCACAGCTAAAAGGTGATGGGAAAACTGGACATTCACATGTACAAGTATGAAACTAGACCCCTAACTTACACCACTCACAAAAATTAAATCAGAGTGGATTAAAGACTTAAATGTAAGACCAAAATGCATAAAACTCCTAGAAGAAAACAGCTCCTTGGCACGAGTCTTGGCAATAAACTTTTGGATACAACTAAAGCACAAGCAACAAAATTGCAAATAGACAAGTAGGACTATATCAAACTAAAAAGCTTCTGAACATCAAAAGAAATAATAAAATGAAAAGACAATCTATGGAATTGGAGAAAATATTTGCAAACCAGTTATCTTATGATAAGAGGGTTACTATCCAAAATATATAAAGAATTCATACAACTCAATAACAAAAAAATAAATAAAAAATAATCCAATTAAAAGATGGACAAAGGACCCGAATAGACCTTCATCCAAGTAAGATACACAAATGACCAACAGGTACCTGAAAAAATGCTCAACATCATTAATATAATCATTAGTGATGCAAATCAAAAGCACAATAAGCTATCACCTCACACCTGTCAGAATGGCTAGTATCAAAAAGACAAGAGATAACAAGTGCTGGTGAAGATGTAGAGAAAATGGAATCCTTGCACACTGTTGATGGGGTTGTAAACTGGTATAGCCACTGTGGGCGGAAGTTCCTCCAAAAGTTAACAGAAACTACCATATGATATTGCAATTTTACTTCTGGGAATATATCCGAAGGAAACAAAAACACTAAGTCAAAAAAGAGATATCTGAACCCCCATGTTCACAGCAGCATTATTTACAATAACCAAGACGTGTTCCCCATTGTTCCCTAGTGGATGAATGGATACACACAGATACACACACACACACACACACACACACACAAATAGAACCTTATTCATCCATAATAAAGGAGGAAATCCTGTCACTTGCAACAACATGGATGGACCTTAATGGCATTATGCTAAGTAAGTCATACAGACTAAGCAAATACCAAATGATCTCATTTATATGTAGATTCTTAAAAGAAAAACCTCACAGAAAAAGATCAGATTTGTGGTTACCAGAGGTGTGGGCCAGGGTGAGGGGAAATTGGACAAAGGTGGTCAAAAGGTACAAACTTACAGTTTTAAGATAAATAAGTACAAGGGATGTAATGTACAGCAAGAGGACTACAGATAGCACTGCTGTATGATACATGTGAAAATTGTTAAAAGTAAATTCTAAGGAGTTCTCATCGCTTGTTTTTGGTATGTATATGAAATGAGTGACATTAAACTTACTGTGGTAATCATTTTATGATGTATGTAAGTCAAATCTTATGCTGTGCATCTTAAAACTTACACAGTGCTGTATGTCAACTGTATCTCAATAAAACTGGTGGGGGTGGGTATGTATAGACCAGAAAAAGTAGGTATACTTCGAGACAAGCCAGCTCCAGATTTTTTTTTTTTTTTTAAAAAGAGAACTAGTTTATGCCATAAAATATTAAAGCTCTTCCTTACTAGCAAAAATCCTCTACAAAGCAAGACAGATTGAGTTTCCCATTTTCTAAATTATCCTGAGGAGTCTCAGTTTTACACCTTTTCATGCCATATTTTCGGGCTTGTATATAAGAAAGAGGTAAGATGACACTGAAATAGGATGACACTGAAAATGGATGAGAAGTAAACAAAAAGGATAAAAACTAAAACAGCAAAAAGGCTCCTTGTCATCTGCACAAAGTACTTACTGCTTTGGGCTATCATCATACCTTTTTTGAGAACACCAAACCTTGCTTTTATAATCTACCACAATGTGATATGAGAACCATAACAATCACCCCGAAGGGCCACCACAGACCATAAAACAAGCACAGATAAGGAAAATGGGTAGTTTACCATAGAATGATGGAATGGCCACAGATTTCCCCAAAAGTCATCACAACTCTTAACCCACATGTGTGACAGCAGCTCTCCTGAGCTCAGCCAGTGATTGGGAGACAGAGGGAGTCTCTGAAAGAAGAACCTCAGGGCCAAGCCCCATCAGGGCTGGGACACAGTCATGTCTTCATCCTTGCTAGAGATGGCATGAGAACATGACTTGCGAAATCCAAGAGGCTAAATACTGATTTATCCTTTTAAAAGCAAGCATTAAAAAATCACATGTAGTGTACCTTTACTGCTTCATCTGCTACCAAGAGGCACACCTTAGGTTCCAACTGTGAAATCCACACGCTCAGCAACGCAGCCCAGACCTCGGTCTCCAACAGCATTCCAGACACCACCTGTGGGAGTCAAAGACAAGCTGCCACCCGTCACTGCCAAGAACGGAAAGAAGCAAACTGAACTCACTGACATCTCAGAGCTCCTTCTACAACGATTTTATTATAAATATGCTCTTTTGGAATAAACAAATACTGCATTCAAGACTATTGGCAAACCTGTTCTAAGGTAATGAAAAGGAAAATGGAACCAGGAACCACTTAGAAGTAGAGATAAATAGCAAAGTCACCTGCATGCCATGCTGAGCGCCTTTCCCCCAAGAAGGAGGTTAACAGGGGACATAACATTTCTCATTAGCCCATTAATGAAAATAAGCTTCAAGTTTGGTAATTTGCACTAGTTCTGTAAACTGAACTGCTCCTGTCCTCGGTCCTAAGAAGTAGAATGGGAAGACAGTCAGTCTTCAGATCCCAGCGTCAGCAAGGAAGATCTTGACTTTGTAACTCTTTGCTCTCAGACAAAACTGTCCACTACTTGCCAGGAGTGATGTCAGAGTAGTCCTTCAGCACCCCGGCCAAGTGCTCATTGTGAGTTTTAAACCGTCGCTTTTTCTGTGAAGCTGGCTTTTTCCTTCTCTGAATAGGAGCCTACAGGAAAAGGTAAAGACAGTTAGAAACAATGGCTACTCAGAGCGGTAATATGGGGAGGATTTACAAAAGATGCCCCAGAAACCAGCAGCAAAGAGATGCAGGGTTTGTGACCTTTCTTCTGTTCTGCAGCCCAGCCTCACACACACCAATCCACACAATCCTTGTTCTAAAACACAAACCAGGGCTTTCTGTTACAGTGAAGTGCATACCTCCACCTGGAATAAATGGGCTGGCACGAAAACTAACCAGAACTATTGTAGGCATGAAGTGGGTAAAAAGAGAGACAGTAAATCTCTTTTGTTTTTCATCTCTATTATCAGGTTTAAAATTTTATCCACCATTAATTACCAATAAAACAAAGACCTGAAGCAAATACAGCAAAATATAGAGATATGGGCAAATTGGGAAGTGGATGAACACAGAAAGATTTGTTAAATATTATCCTCTTTTCTTCACTGTATACCTGAAATACTAATATCACATAATATTAACAAACTAAGCAATGACGGGAAACCATGAAGTGCTGCAATCACACTAATTCTTGGAGATCACTGGCAATAAATTTTCCCTTTTAAAGGAGTCCTAAAACTTCACTGAATAAAACACAGTCACAGACAAGTCAAGCTACAAAGGCACGATGGTGGACAGGGAAGGAGGGTGTTAGTGAAATATTTCTCGTCCTGGCTTTGACCCTGGGCCGCAGAGAGCTGGTTAGCTGGTAAAGGAATTCACAGGTCTTCATTCAATTACAAATCCCTCCAATGAGCAGGATTTGGGGGCTATAAAGACAGTAATATCTGGTTCCTAAGGGATCTGAAAGTCAACAAGGATAGTTCAGTGTGATCAGGGCTAAGGCAAAGCCAGGCACCGAGACCACCGGGCTCCGGGAGCAAGAGGGGTGGGGGGTGGGGTGAAGACCATAAAGGCCAGAACGATGAAGCAAGCCCCTGGCAGAAACTGGGAGCACAACACGTGGGCACTGCACGCCCTATGGCTGGAGCTTAAGCGCAGGCAGCCTGCCAGGGAGGCTCTCACATACCTGGCGAGCAGCCCCTGAGGGCAAAGAGATCCGCTGGCCCTCAGTACACCAGACGTGATCTGAATGCATCTGACCAAGGTCACAGGATTAGGACACAGAAAAAACTGGAAGGGAGAACTAACTACCTACCTGCTCTTCCGAGAGCTGCACAGGACGCAGGCTAACAGTTCAAAGAGCAGAAGATTACATTTTCTTCTAGAAAGTACGTACCACTTTCTTTGGTCCAGATTCCTGCATGGAAGAAATACCCTGTCGCTTCAGATACTCTTCAATTTTCTCCTCATCCATTGAATCCACAGTGACACTCCTCCACAGTTTCTGAAACTCTGTGCCAACAAGACAGTAGTTACTGTACAATAGATGTTTACAAGCTGTAACATCTCAGTGTGATCGAAATCAGGCTTCGATATTATCTCCTCTGATCTCAATGAGCACATCTGAGATTTCATTATAAAAACAAAGGAAGACAGGAACATTCAGATGCTGGACACAGCAGCAGAAGGGCCTGGGAACACGAACTGCATCCCTACAGACCAGATCAGCACTGCTCTATTTTTAGAGCCTATAAATGAAGGCCATGTGATTGAGCCTCCCAGCTTTCCTGGGAAGAAAGGTAGTTGACCCTCTCCTTTAATCCCAGAAATCAGTTCTCCATTGAAATAGTTCAAATTCCTGATCATCTCTCATGAGCTCAGTATAGCCCACTTCCTCTCCTACAGGAAAAGAGAAACAGGGAGATGAGGAACCAAAGTTTTATACGGAGGAGTTACAACAGCCTATTTGCAAAAAAGGCCTTTTGAAATCAAACAAATGGGGGATGGGTGACTAAGAGGTGATAAAAGTGAGGGGAGGAATACTGACACAGTAACACTGTCTCACATGCCCTGGAAGACAAAGGAAAAAGGCCCTCCATCCAGCCTACTCCTCGTTCTTAGAGACCCCGGCCCCTTTGCCACACCACCATTTCTGCAACCAAAAGAGATCACAATTGGGACATGTCCAGAATGAAACTCGAATGCATCTTAAATTCTGTCCCTAAAGAGAGGCTCAAATAACCAGGTTTCACGTCATTATTAACATCTACTTTCCAACACACAAAAAATGTCTTATGATGGCAAATCATAAGACATTTGTACTCTGGATGGTGAAAGAGGCAAGTTCGCTGGGTGCCCTGAGGCTGGGGGCTGGGCCCCTGCTCACCAGAGACCTCTCTCACATGCGCATGCGCACGCCCACTCACACTGCAACACCACCTACCCCCATCCCCACCCTCCTCCCTGGCATGGCATCCCGGAGGCCTAATCCAGGTGGCGCCGGCACCTGCCTTACTTTCAGATAAAAAGTGACAATGGAGAGGGGTCCATTCACAAGCTGTAAACAAAGTAGGCATGAGATACTGTGCTGGACCAGACTGTTCTCCTCTTTCCTGTTTCAATACGTATTACATGAAGCAAATGATGCTCTAACGGCTGGGGCTCCAGTGATACTTAGGAAATCTGTTTTCTGCCACACACGGAAAGATTTTTGCTGACGGTGACCAAATGCAAAAATGACAATCTACTACAAAGAATTCAACCTGGGCACAAAGTTATTTCAATCCAAAACATCTCTAAATAAAAAAATTTTTAGGGCTTCCCTGGTGGCACAGTGGTTGAGAGTCCGCCTGCCGATGCAGGGGACACGGGTTCGTGCCCCGGTCCGGGAGGATCCCACATGCCGCGGAGCGGCTGGGCCCGTGAGCCATGGCCGCTGAGCCTGCGTGTCCGGAGCCTGTGCTCTGCAACGGGAGAGGCCACAGCAGTGCGAGGCCCGCGTACCGCAAAAATAAAATTAAAAAGAAAAAAAAATTTTTTTTATTTCTTTCAATACATTAAGAGTTCTTTTTCCTATATGCTCCCTGAACTTTCATCTGCATAGATTACAGAAATCAGTTAACAGATGACAATCAATTGTTTGCATGACTTTCTCAGCCCCTTGAAGGGCTATAAGCTCCTCGGAGTGGATATTTTTTTTTGTACGTTTCCTACTATGGTTGGCACTGAATTTAGCACATCCTCAACAGTTTGATCACTGAACGTATGAAATGTTATTCTCTGGGCATCACAGAGTATCTGTTTTCTTTTTACATTTTTTAAACTTTTTTATTTTAAAATAATTTTACATTAACAGAAGAGTTGCAACATTAGTACACAGAACTCCAGTACAGGTTTTGCCCAGCTTTCCCTAATGTTAACACTGTATATGATCTTAGTAAAATTATCTAAACTAAGAATACAAGCCTATTAACTAATCTACAGATCTTATTCACATGTCACCAGTTTTAGCACTTGCGTCCCCGTCCTGGTCGTCCTGGTCCGGCACCACACCTGGGATCCCACTGTGTTTAGCTGCCGTGTCTCCTTGTTCCAGGCTCTAAGTGTGCCCAGTGTCTCCTCATCTCTCAGGGCCATGACACTTCTGAGGAGTTTCTGTAGTTATTTTATACAACGGCCCTCAATGTGCGGTTGTCTGCTATTTCCTTGTGATTAAATTGAGGCTATACATTTTGGGCAAGAACATCACAGAGAAGACATTGTGCCCTTCTCAGGACCTAACATCAAGGGTCCATGATGTTCACATGGCTTATTACTGGGGCGGTCAGAATGATCACTGGTTAAGGTGGTGTCTGTCAGATTTCTCCACCATGAAGCTATTATTTTTCCCTTTGTAATTAATAAGCACCCTGTGGGGAGATCTACTGAGACTATGCCTAAACACCCTGTTTCTCAGCACACGTTATCTCACTAATTTCAGCATCCATTGATGGCTCGTGCCTACAACAACTGATACTTGTAGGTTTGCCTAACGGCATGTTACTTCCGTCATTCCTTTCATGCGTATGGATTAGGATTCTATAAGGAAGACTACTGAACAAATGGATCAGATTCTCGAGCCAATCTATTTATTCAATTGTTAACTTAGTATGGATTCATGGATATTTATTTTATTTCATGGATTATAACCCATTACTATCATGATTTATTTTCTTGTTCAAATATCCTGGCTTTGGTCATTGAGTCCCTTCAAATTGTCCCTGGCTCCTTTTGACTTGCTTCCCTTTTTTGTTGTTTGGGGTTTTTTTGAGCATTTTCTTACTTTCTGGTACCAAAACATGTTCCAAGCTCATCTTGCATTTCCCCAAACTTGGAATCAGCTCTTCGCCAAGGAGTCCTGACTCCTTTTACTGGAGAATGGTATTTCGAAACCAAGATCTAGGCATCCTAGTCTCTTTTTCTAGCAATCACTTTTATGTTTTTGAAAACAGCAAATGATTAGGGGACATGAAATTTAAAGACAAATGACTTGTTTTAGGAGATTATCTCCAAGTATCATGAAAGTCAGTCAGGCTCTAAATTATAAGGGTAAATAAAATAGGAATTGTTTAAAAATCTGCTGTCTTTTAACAGAAAAGAAAGGCTAGAATTTTAAAACTCAGATTTGACCCTTTCAACTGAAGGGAACCCTGTCCTACTTGAGCTAAGAATGAAAACTGTGTAACAGAAAGTATGCCAGAGAAGGAAAGAAAATAAGCAAATTCATTAATAAGGCTTTGCTTAAATTCCCAAATAACTCATTCATATTTTGGCTACACCCAAAGCTTTCCTATGAAATACAAAACTAGCAGAATAGTATAGACTGTGGCGACAGAGGGCCTGGATGTGGAACCCAGTGACACTATTTACTAACTATGTCACATGGGAGAAGTTACTTAACCTCTCTGCCTCAGTTTCCTGACCTGTAAAATTGGGATAATAATATGTATTTCATAAAGATGTGGGGATAAAATGAGTTAATATCTATAAGGCACTGAGAATAATGCCTGCAAAGGAAAAAGCACTATCTATATCCGTCATAGTTACCATCATCCTCTGAGGTCTATCATCTCTTATTTCTGAGTGTTAATGCCTTTAAGGAAGGCAGGTGAATCTGGCTGCTTTCAATAAGCATGACTCATCTGAGATTTATCCATGTTGTTGGGCATGTCAGTACTTCGTTCCTTCTTATTGCAAAGCTGTATTCCATTGTAAGGATGTACCACACTTGGGGGCAATGAAGGGACTGTTAAAGGGCATCTGAGTTGTTTACATGTTTTGGCTGTTATGAATAAAGTTGATATGCACATGGATTTTGAGTGAACTTGGGTAAAAACCTAAAAGTGGTACGGCTGGGTCATACATACAGTATACGTATTACAGCATACTAATAAATATGACGACCTACACCTCACACTATATGCAAAAATTAATTCAAAATGATCAAAGATCTAAATATAAGAGCTAAAACAGAAACTCTTTGAAGAAAAAACAGAAGTAAATATTGGTGTTGTTGGAATAGGGAATGGTTTCTTAGATATGACACAGAAACACAAGCAACAAAAAGACAAATACATAAATTTTACCTCATCAAGATTAAAAACGTTTGTATCTCAAAGCACACCAACAAGAAACTGAAAAGACAACTCATAGAATGGACAATATTCACAAAACATAACTCTTTTAACAGACCTGTATCCAGAATAAAGAACTCTTTAAAATTCTATAATAGGACCTTCAAGATGGCAGAGGAGTAAGATGTGGAGATCACCCTCCTCCCCACAAATACACCAAAAATAAATTTACATGTGGCACAACTCCTACAGAACACCTACTGAATGCTGGCAGAAGACCTTAGACTTCCTAAAAGGGTGCACAAGGAGAGGGGCACCGCCTAAACAAGCTTCAGAGACGGGCACAAGCCACAGCTATCAGCGTGGACACCAGAGACGGGCATGAAATGCTAAAGTTACTGTTGCAGCCACCAAGAAGCCTGTGTGCAAGCACAGGTCACTCTCCACACCTCCCCTCCCGGGAGCCTGTGCAGCCCGCCACTGCCAGGGTCCTGGGATCCAGGGACAACTTCCCCAGAAGAACACAAGGCGCGCCACAGGCTATTGCAGCATCACACTGGGCTCTGCCGCCACAGGCCCGCCCCGCACTCCGTACCCCTCCCTCCCCTGGCCTGAGTGAGCCAGAGTCCCCGAATCAGCTGCTCCTTTAACCCCATCCTGTCTGAGCAAAGAACAGATGCCCTCAGGTGACCTACATGCAGAGGCGGGTCCAAATCCAAAGCTGAACCCCGGGAGCTGTGCGAACAAACAGGAGAAAGGGAAATCTCTCCCAGCAGCCTCAGGAGCAGCGGATTAAATCTCCACAATCAACTTGCTGTACCCTGCATCTGTGGAATACCTGAATAGACAACGAGTCATCCCCAAACTGAGGCGGTGGACTTTGGGAGCAACTGTAGACTT